CTCCTTTTTTCTGATCTTCTGGAGCTGCACATTGCAGCAGGGCTGGGGCTGTCTTGGCGTCACTAGACTGTATTTGTGTCTTTCTGTGGCAGGGATGCCTGGTGCCTGTGTGGGTGGAATGGGAAGTCTTGGCTTACCTGCCACTGTCATGGCAACCAGGTAACCTAAGGACTCCAGAAGCAAGTCCTTTCAGATGGAGAGGAGAAAGAATGGAAGAAAGCTGAAAATAAACAGAAAGAAATCTGTGAATGGAGAAACGACTGGAGTCTCACACCTGCAGCTTGCTTGTCATTGGCAGTGAGGAGAATCCACCCAGTTCTCCTCCCCGCCCACCAGCTCAGCCACAGCCAAAGGCCGCAGATCAACCCGTCCTGCCTCTTGCCTCGCGCATGACCCCACTTAACCCATCCAGGAGGGTCGTGCTCTTCTGTGCAACATCCCCAGGGAAGGAGAGCCCCCCCAAATGCTCTCAGCATCCCCGTGGTAACACAGAGGACAGTCCTGGACTGGAATTCGGCAGGATCTATATTCTGATCCCTCATCCATCTCACAAGGGCAGACTGTCTTAGAGAGTTCTTTAATCTCACCCTCCCACAGGGGGTCGACGGACCCTTTACCTAAGGCATGGCTCCTTCCTTATTTGCTAGTACGAGAACAGAATAGAGCTATAGTAGAAAAAAAACTATGAAATTAAAGTCCTCATGGAAACACGAGTTAGAATTGCAATACTTGCACAAGAGGACTTACTTGTGCCAGGCACTGTATCTAGCACTTTGTGGGCATGACATCATGCCACCCTTGGAGGAGTTAAGAGTTGCTTGCAACAGAAAGATAAAGAAGCCTCAGAGAGGTTGAGCAGCCTGCCCAAGTATGCACAGCTGGTAAGTGTGAAGAGGCATTCAAAACCTAAGGAGCCAATCTCTGAAAAACATGCTCTTCATGCCTCCCCGACACCATGTCCCTTGGGGCCAGGATTTTCGAGAAGACCTGATTTGTCTTGCCTTAGTCATTCCCTGGGCCCCAAAGCTTCAAGTAGAACATCAAGGAGTGTTTAGGGCCCTTTGATCCGTGGAGTTTGCTGAGCTCTGCAGACAAGATCATAATAATCCCCCCAGCCCGAGGGCTGGTGTCTCAGGAGCTGGACCAGAGGGGCTCATCCTCTTCTACACCTGGTGCCCATCCATTCAGCAAATGCCCCTTACTGTGCACCTGTAATGTGCTGAGTTCTATGGGGCACACAGGAACAGCTCCAATCCTGGAAGACACAGAGAAGAACCACTCAACTGTGGGTGGCAGCATGGGGAGAGGAGACAGGTCTGTAGCTAGCAGTCTGGAGAGACTTGGCAGAGGGGTACCAGCTGGGCAAGGAGGCTGGAGGAGAGACAGAGAAGACACCGTGGGCACAGGTGTGGGAGGGACAGTGGGGACAGAGTCCACAGGAGGGATGAACAGAGCGGGGTGCTGAGAAGCTTGGAGGCTGGTGTCACAAAGACCTGGCATTAGATTCTGGCCATGCCACCGGCTGGCTGAGTGACTCTGAGCTGGTCATTTAACCCTTCTCTTCAATAGGGGTCGTTCTTACACTCAGAGGCATTTACCACTTCCTGCTCCAACACTTCAGCTTTTAACAGAGTTTCCTGCACAGATCATCTTAAGGCTAACTTGAGTTCGTCTGGCTACGGCTCATTTCCATCTCTTCTGCTCTTGAAGAAGCATAGGCCTGACCAGTCAAAGGTGGTAAAGCGGCCTCTTAGAAGCCTTAAACATGACAAAGATTATGGCCCTTCTCCCAAATGTACATAAAAATATACTAAATCATCACATACAAAACTTACGTAAATGCTAAGGTTAAAATAACATCTTTCCAGATTTATTATTATTATTGTTATTGTTATTATTATTTATTATTATTGTTATTATTATTATCATCATCATCATTATTTTTGCTAAAATCCTAGATTGCTTCCTTTATCAAGTTAAACCTTTCTAACAGTTTTGGTGTCCTTACTTTCTAATCTTTGTAGCACCTGAAGCAAGTTCGTAGTCTGCCTTTCGGGGTTGTCCGGTTCCCAGGGAAAGCGTGGGGGACCAGGAGCCCCTGGGCAAACAGCACACCTTTGGCCTATTAACCAGGTGCTGGGGCCAGCCAGGCCAGGTCATGCTCTCCCTTTCCCCAGATAAGTATATTGAGGCGCTGAGACTCCTGTGCCCTGGTGGTTGCACATCTACAGCCTCAATGGAGAGTCCAGGTCTTGTGACCAGTTGTGCCTGGCCAGCAACTCTTCCTGCCCTGTCTCCTGGCTGCTGCTTGGAAGCAAGGAGTGTAGACTTCTCTGCCACTTGGCAACGTTGCCAGGGACCGGAAGTCATGTCTCTTACTCCACTGGCAATTTGACGTGGCTGCTTAACAACCCGATTAATCAAACCCAGCTCATCCTGTTAGAATTAATGAGCCTGGGAAATGCTGCCATGAATGATGAGGGCTTTTGCCCCTCCCCCAACACCTCTCCCCACTCTCTCTCTCCTGCTTCTTTCTGAGAGCCACACAGCAACAACTCACTACCAAGGGCTCTTGGACCTGGAAGGGTGTGGTGAGCGTCCAGCAGTGTGGCCGTCTCCTGCCTTTTCTACTCTCCCAGGCACCACAGCTGCCCACCTGGAGCCAGAGCTGGCCATGTTCGAGGGGAGCAAAACTTGTTCATCAAACAGATATGAATGCATTTTGCCACCAATATTGGATGGAGAGTCTGTTTCAGGCACTATATTAGGTGTTAAGGATGCAAAGATGGAAAAGATATTGTCCCTGTAAGGGATCACGGTGTAGTAACCTAGAGACAAATGGGGAAGTGCTGCAACAGAGGGGATGGGAAGGGCGGGAGCCACAGTGAAGGGGGCCCGTCAATACTGGAGGAGCAGCGTGGGAAACCAGGAAGGGTTGTATGGGGACCAGGCACTTTGAGAGTCTCTACCACCAAGTTCATTCATGGCGCATACATACAATGAGTGCTGGGCACTGGGCAAGGTGCTGGGGTCCAGAGGTCCACAAGTGGACATGGTCCCTATTCTCCTGGACTGGGCAGTCTCATCCCTATTCCTCGGGACAGTGCAGGGAACCTGAACAGACACTTGATTAACTTTTTCATTTACTCAAACACAAATGTTGTTGAGGGCCTTTGGGGAGGAGGGCTAGGCATTGGGGGAAAGGAGTGAACAACCCCTCATCCCTGCCTTCCAGGGCTTCTCTGACAAGTAGACAGGCATACGCACAGATCCTTATAAGGAGGTACTCAGTGCTCTAACAGGGATCTGCCCAAGGTGCTCGCACAAGGCACTCAGAGATCAAAGAACTGAGCTCAACCTGGAAAAGTCAGGGGTGACTCCCTGTAGGAGGTGGTATTGGAACTATCATGAAGATAGAGAAGCAGTGTGACAGGTAGACCAGGTACAAAAGAACATTGTAGACCTCATCCAGGCCAAGGTGTGGTCTTTGAGTGATAGGGGTTGAATTGGAAGGGAAAGATGATTCTGTGCATCTTTGGAGGGAACAGCTGGTTCTACAGTCAACAGCAAAGACCATGGGTTAAATGTCTGTCTTACAGGTCAGGTGCTCCTGTGCTTGCTTGTTCAAAATGGGGAACAAGATGTGGTTTCCTGAATGGTGGGATCTCCAAGTTAGCAGGGACGTGGCTTACGTGGCCAAATCGCAAACACACCAGTGTGGGGCACAGGGACATATTCTGGGTCCTTTGATAGGAGTGAGGTGGAAGGGCTGGGTCCACAATAAACGAGTTGGAATGGGAAGGGAAGGCATAGGGAGTAAGGAGAAAGAGTACCTGGGGTAGCTCAGAAGAAGGCACAGGCTGGGGAAGGGGGGTGGCCCAACTGTCAAGTCCTTAAGAAAGTAAATGACTTGGGGGTGGTGGGATTTAGCAAGTAGAAACCATGGACTCTGAGCTGGGAGGGAGAAAGACAAGCCAGACGGGGAAGGAGGGAACGGGGAGGGGAGAGAGAGGGAAAAAGAGTCAGGGAGGCTCACAGAGGCACTTTGGGGCCACCACGTCGGGCCTGGCAGGAAGCAGATACACGCCAGCTTCAGTCACGGTCACTGACATGTCGTCACAGGGTGTTCTGGAGGCTAAGCCCATCTCTGCAGTCTACTCACAAGGGTCTTCAGATCCTGCCACCATCTCGCTGGGCCAGGTCCTCTGCCTCTCTGCTTCCAGGCCTACCCTAGACTAGGCTTCGTGGTGGCCACTCCCAGCCAGGCCCAAAGGACATGCCTGGAGGGATGGATACACACCTCTTAGGTCCTTGGGATTCAGGCCTGCCCCCACCTGCCAAGGTTTAGTCACTCAGGGACCCGGGGAGGGAGGCTTCACAGAGGGACCTGAGTCTCCACGTGCTGGTCTGCGGGGGAGTGCAAAGGCTTCAGACCAGAGCTCCAAACTCGGGCAAAATGACGCTCACGATATGTCTAGAAGACTTGCCTTTGTTGTGGACATCTCACTATTGGGAGACTTTACATAAAAATCGCTCCCTAGATTCCCACGTGCAGAATGGGCTGGCGCTGACAGTGGCTTTCCCTTTCTTTAACTTGGGGTCTGGACCTTAGATTGGCCCGTGTCCCTACCAGCTGGCTGCCTGTGTCACTTGCATGGTCTGCCTGGCTCTGAGGGCATTAGAGCTTGAGACCCCCTTCACAGAGAAGTCCGCCAGGCTGGCACCCTCTTTGGACAGCAAGGGGCTTCCATAGACACCGACCCGCTCATTTTTACAGGCACCCTAGGCCTTGGGCGGCACCCAATGGGTGCTGAGGCTCTGAACTGTTAGTTGAAGTCACTGAGGCTGCCTGGCTCCCCTGTCCCCCATGGACCTCTGGTGCTTCCCGACAAAGCCCGTGACCTGGCTTCAGTGGTGTGGTCTGCCATCCCTGGGTGGCCCCACCCGTCGCTCCACACGCCAGGCGGGGACCTCACCGCCCTCTGCCTCTCTCCCTGCAGGGGGAGCTGCTGAGCCCATGCCGCTGTGATGGCTCGGTCAAGTGCACGCACCAGCCCTGCCTCATCAAGTGGATCAGCGAGCGGGGCTGCTGGAGCTGTGAGCTGTGCTACTACAAGTATCATGTCATCGCCATAAGCACAAAGAATCCTCTGCAGGTATGACCGGGAGCGAGGATGGTCTCCCCTTAGAGTCCGGGCCAGTCTGGAGAAAAGGAACGAGCCGGGCCGCGTGGGCAAGACGGCAGTGGCCTGTGGGCAGAGGGGATGAGAGAACTCGTGTTTTCTCCTCGGCCTCAGTAAGAAGGGAAAGGGATGGGGCAAAGGGAAAGGAAAGACTTAGAAAGAAAGAAGTGCGGGCGTGAGATGGTGCACAGGATCAGTGAGCCAAGGGAGGGAGCGAAGGAGGGAGAGACGGCAGGCTGGATGGATGGATGGCTGGCTGGCTGGAAGGGGAAAGGGAAGAAAGAAATGACGGAGGGGAGGCAGGGAGGAAAAGAAAGGAAAGAGGGACAGACCAGAGGTCAGGTGATAGCAGAATGGAAAAAGGGCAGAGGGTGAGGGGTGTGAGGAGGAAGACTGAGGGAAAGCTAAGTGGGG